CATTTGAGTCATTGTGTTGAAACAAGATCAAGTTACACAATTTTTTTAAAAACACTGGCTGTCATTTGTTTTTAAGTAGCTGCATTTAGTTAAGACTTAGAATGTATGAGGAATTTCAATAAATTTATATCACGATTAATAAATGCACTACAGCAAAAAACAAAAATAGACGAACATTGTTGTAATATAATAAATTAATTCCAAGTAAAAAATGTGTGGAATGATCTGTTTTTTAATCTATGGCATTATTTTCAAAACTATTGCAAATACATTTACCCTTTTAATTAAACATTAATTACTGTTTTTGCTTATTGATACGAAGAAATTTAATTGCCCAAAAAAGCACAACATCTGAAATATCTTAGATCTATACAAAGAATAACACGATTTCACAATATGAAAATAATAGAAGGGTAAAAAATCTTTTAATAAAACCCAGTCGGCGTATAACTTGGATCATACCGGTGGAAGGAAAACAGTATTAAAAAACTCTGTGCTATAAATTAGGGTTTAATAATCAGAGCTGAACACGCTAATGCAAACGGATAGCACATTTATTGGCAAAAAACGGAAAGCCCTTTTGATGAAGGTCTATCAAATTTAAACATTACGTAGAATTTAGTGGTGTTTAGTGACCGTTAATTAATGATTGTTCGGAGATCGTGGATGTGGTCTGGTGTGATAAAAGATTTAGAAAGACATTTTTTTTATCGTGCCAACGTTTCGATCTTCATTGAGACCATCTTCATAAATCCCAGGCTCTGAAGATGATCTCAAAGATCGAAACGTTGGCACGATAAAAAAAATGTTTTTCTAAACCTACGTCACACCAGACCACATCTTAAATTCTCCAAATCATCATTACTCAAAATTGAGTGTTTTTTTAGTGACGGTCGTTTAATAATTTGTTGGACCGAGAGGAGCGGTCAAGAATGAGGTAAATAAGCAAAACACCTTTTTCAGATTTTTGCCCACGTTTCAACCTCCATTCGGGTCACTTCGGTGTCTGGGCGAATTAAAAAACATATGTTGATTAGAAAATGTACAATTTAAGTTGTAAATATAAATTTTTGAATGTTGAATGACTTGGTTTAAAATTTATATTTACATCTTAAATTGTATTTTTTCCAAGCAACATTTTGTAATTTATCCAGGCCCTGGTAAGACCCGAATAAACTCCCGCAAAAAAATGAAAAAGGTGTTTTTCTAAACTACCTCATTCTTGACCACTCCTCACGAATTCAACAAAATACGTAGAATTGAGTTTTTTTAGTGACCGGTCGTTTAATATTTTTTTGGACCGTGAGGAGCGATCAAGAATGAGGTAGATAAGAAAAAAACCTTTTGCAATTTTTTGACGCGCTTCGACCTCCATTCAGGTCATCTTCCTGGCCTGGGTGAATTACAAAATGTTGATTAGAAAAAATACAATTTAAGATGTACATATATATTTTGAATGTTGAATGAATATAATACGATTAATTAAGGTTTTTAGTTAAGATAAAAAATGAATGTTGAATGAATACTTGGTTAAAAATTTATATTTACATATTAAATTGTATTTTTCCGAGTAACGTATGTTTTGTAATTTACCCAGGCCCTGGTGATGACCCGAATAAACGTCCGCAAAAAATAGAAAATGTGTTTTTCTAAACTACCTCATTCTTGACCACTCCTCATGACTTCAACAAAGTACGTAGAATTGAGTTTTTTTTTAGTGACCGGTCGTTTAATAATGTTTTTGCCCGTGAGGAAAGTGAGGTAGATAAGCAAAACACATTTTCAATTTTTTGACACGTTTCGACCTCCATTCTTGTCATCTTCAGGGCCTGGGTGAATTACAAAACAAATGTTGATTAGAAAAAATACCATTTAAGATGTAAATATAAATTTTGAATGTTGAATGAAATTTTTGGTTTAAAATTTATATTTACATCTTAAATTGTATTTTTTCCGAGCAACGTATGTTTTGTAATTTACCCAGGCCCTGTGATGACCTGAATAAACGTCCCCAAAAAAATGGAAATGGTGTTTTTCTAAACTACCTCATTCTTGACCACTCCTCACGACTCCAATAAATTACTTAGAATTGAGTGTTTTTTTAGTCACCTGTCGTTTAATAATCTTTTGACCATGAGGGGAGATCAAGAATGAGGTAGATAAGCAAAACACCTTGTTCAATTTTTTGACGGCGTTTCGACCTCCATTCGGGTCATCTTCAAAACATAATTTGATTGGAAAAATACAATACAGGTGGAAATATAAACTTTGAACCAAGTATTTTATCCAACTGTATCCAACCCAACAAATTATTACCTAGAATGTTTTTCTATAAGCCATGAAAAATCATAATTTGGTCTAACGAAGAATTTGACGAAAATGTGATACGTTTAGTAGTTCAAAAAAATCGATATATAAAGGTCATAGTAAAATTCCTCAATAACCATATAATTAGTATGTTAGTTTAAAATATTATTTGTTAAAACAATATCTAAGATAAAAATAATATTTCTGTTCCGTTCTCATTAAGCCGTAGGCTTTCAACCTATATTAGACCAGGATTACAAAGAGGGTTAATCCGTGGCTCAATAGACGTACACGAAATGGCCCCAGAGCTGAATTGTGCGGTCGTCTCCTGATTTGGAAATCAGTGAAATCGATTGAAACGGCCTTCCCCACGGAATGACAGACTGGGGTCGAAGGACAATGTGACAAAAGGGACTTCCTTCTCCTGTCGGAAGGGCGGCAAGTTCGAACTTTTCGACGAATTTTTATTGACGGAGTTCGAATGTTTAAGAAAAGGGAAAGTTAAATAAAAAGCGCGTTGATGCCAACCGCGAGAGAATTATCACACCATCCCATCGTTGTTAGGCCTGTTAATTCTGATTCCAGATTGTGTGAGTATTGATGGTCTCGGGTACATGCATATTGAAGCATAATGTTTCTATATTGTTTTATTAAATGGTAGTAATAATATATGCACACAATTAGACTGTGGATAAATTGAAGAAATGCCACACTACGTTAAACAGAAGAAATTAAAAATAGGTATTTAGATAGATAACAACAAACCGTAAGAGAGATAGGTAAATAGATAAATTTGATGCGATGTATTCAGAGAATAAGCGAGGCAGATTGCAAAAGAGGACGAGAATTAGAGGGAAAAAAGAGAGAGTGCGAGAGAGATAGATAGATACAAAGAGAGAGAGAGAGAGAGAGCGAGAGAGAGAGAGAGAAAAGTTTGAAAAGAGAGGGTGATGGAGACAGATCGATTGGTTGATGGCGTGATTTATCACGCAAAACTCAAAATTGTCTGAGGGAAAAAGAGAGAAAGACAGAGAGCAAGAAAGGGAGGGACAGAGAGAGAAAGTGAAAGAGGCGAGAAATAGGAAGAAAAAAAGAGAGATCGTGAAGATAAGCGAGAAATAATGGCCAAGAGAAAGAAAGAAATAAAGAGAGAGAGAGAGAGAGAGAGAGAGAGAGAGATAGAGTAAGAGAGAGATTATAATGAACGCTTTATTTATAGAAAACACAAAATTTGGTGTGAAAAAAGAAATAGAGGGGGAGTGAGAGAGAGAGCTAGTGAGTCAGTAAGAGAAAGAGAGAGTGAGTCAGTGAGTAAGAGAGAATTAGACAGTTAGTAAAGAGAGAGAGGGGAAGAGAGAGAGAGAGAGAGAGAGAGAGAGAGAGAGAGAGAGAGAGTGTAAGAGAGAGATTATAATGAACGCTTTATTTATAGAAAACACAAAATTTGGTGTCAAAGGAGAAATAGAGGGGGAGTGAGAGAGAGAGAGAGAGCTAGTGAGTTAGTAAGAGAAAGAGAGAGCGAGTCAGTGAGTAAGAGAGAATTAGTAAAGAAAGAGAGAGAGAGAGAGAGAGAGAGAGAGAGAGAGAGAGAGAGATCCTGTAAATGAATGTGTGAATCACTTAGAAAGAAAAGTAGTGAGGGAAAGTGTATGTAAATCAGTGAGTGTGTGAGTCAATAAAAGAGTAAAAGAGTAAGAAAGCGAGAGAAATAAAGAGAGCGAGAGAGAGTGAATCAGTGCGTGAGATAGCGAAAAAGAGAGAAATGGACAAAGAGATGGTGGGTGAGTGAGAGAGAATTGTACTACTTGATATATACTAAAAAAAGACATACTTCGTTGTTTATTTAAAACTATATGCATTTCTTTCGTTATATTAATTACAACATAATTGTTTTCATTTAAGCCAAATCGAGAAAAATTCCCGAGTTTTAATTTTAAAATATTCATTTATGATGGTTTAAAATTAAATGGTTAAATGGTTAATTTTAAAAGGAAATTTTCCAAAATACCTTAAAATCATTTAATTATCAATTAAAATTTAAATAACAATTTATTTTGTTTATTTAAAAAAAATTAAACTAAATTTTAATTATTCTATTAATTTAATCTATTAATAAATTATAGCAGCCAGAAACCGAAATGACGAAAAAATATCAGTGGGAACGAGTCAGGTAATAGTAAGGATAGATAAGGTTAAACACTGGGAATTAGACAGAAAAATAGAAAGAAAAATAATAGCAAATAGAATAGTATAATAAAAAAGGAAAGTGAAAATGAAAAATCAATTTAGAAAGAGATGTACATAGGTACATAGTTCATTAAATCATAAAACATAAAAGTTTGTGAGATAAACAAATTTAAATTTAGATATATCAGAAATTAGTAAATAATTGTTTAAAAAACTCAGATCATACAACGGAATTTTAATTTAAGCTTAAAACCTTTACATTTTCAGAAGCGGTTACGGACAGATTTTTAATAGAATTTAGTACCATTTTTCTATCTAGCAACTTGAAACTATCAGTATGAAAAATTTAAACGTTCAAAAACTGGAATTGTGTACTTACTGCAAATAAGTTCATATGAAAGATTATTTGTCAATTAATAAAAAAAATTCAGTAAAAGTAAGAAAAAATATACTTTTATATTAATATTTATTCTTTTGTTTTTTACCATTTCTGCAAAAACAATTACCTGTTCGACCCATAAATTAGTTGTCATTATCTGGTTCTTGAGGTTCTGCAACAAAAAAGACACAAATGATTAATATAATATAATGTATATTGATAGGAACAGTTGTTTATGAATTATTCATAACATTTCTATTTGGAATAATAAAATTAATAATAAATTGTAAGAATTTTTTATTTAAGGTAATGCAAACTCATCATATAGTACAATTTTTTCATAAACTTTCAACAAAATATAAAAAGTACCCAAACTAAAATTTATTTAGGTTCAATTAACGAAATATGTAAATGTTATTTTCCAGCATGTCTTTAGATCAATTGGGTTGCTGGATATAAAATGCAGATATAGTATTTTCCATCTGCCAAATCTGACAAAATTAGGCAGAAATTATTATCTATTTGTTCACCCCCGCATGAAGTTGTTCAGGAAGTCATTTAGCTACCCATATCCTTTTTTACACCAACGTAATAAACTAGTAAGTAGTAAATTAGTACTACTCGGAGATTTGTCAGATAGTCAAATTAAAAAAAAAAATTGCAATAAAATCTCCAACTGTTTATTGCATGAAACGATGAATGTGCTAGGACTTTTTACTGTTAGCAGGGGCCTGTAAGTCTCTTTTGAGTTCAAAAACTAAAAATTCAGCTTTGATCATCTGAAATGAAAAAAGCTCGAAAAAACATGATCCTACAAAACTGAATTCGTATGATAACACTGAAGAAGTCGTCTCATTCCACTTGTTTATGATCCCATAGATGAACAGAATTATTATTGAATATAATGCATATTGCACACAAAAAAGGTTGAGATGAACTATTCAAGGTTTGTCTTAAAAACCATGTCGCGTTAAAAAGGTTAAGCAGAAAATATGATCATTTTTCGGTTAATGGATACTAGGAATTGGGGGTACCCTAAACACTGCAGCTTTCTGCCTTGTATATTCCTACTTCCTTAGGTCAGTGCAATCAACTTGATCCTACTCCTTAGAAGTACTAGGGTGATAGACTGTAGTTGCTGCAGTCCTATTCCCTGGGTTTTCTTCTTCTTCATTGCATAATCTGCAAATGCGATCATCATTGAATATGCCAATGCTGCGTAGATGTTTTCTCAGATGCCAGTGACCGGTAACTATCCTCATACTCCTCTGGGTTTAGCTTTCTCTCATTATAGCAGTGAGTTTGCCTCTGTTGGTGAGGGGTTTTTTAGCTTACGTTTATTGCGTCTAACGACCCTAGAGTTTATCCACTTCACAGTTTTTGGAACCACTCTGCGATACTGTGTTGGTTTTTGTTATCCAAGAATATGTTCAGGGCGTATGTACATTAGTGCAGGTCTTTCTCTGGCCAGTGAGTCTGCCTTTTCGTTACCCAAAATCCCCCTGTGTCCTTGTACCCAAGATCAAGTTTTGGTGATTTTTGGATGCAATCACTGACTAGTTGTGATGTGACTTTTTTTTTGCATGATAATGGTTTATCTGCAAACCTACATTGCATCACAGTGTACAAATTCTTCGTTTTATTAGAATTATAAAACTTCTTTTTTCATAACTCAGGAATATATATTTAAAAAATTATTGGCAAATAAATGAAACGAATGAGTTCCATGAGAAAAATGTGAAAATAATGCCAAATGATCATATTATCGTACTGTTCCTTCACTTTATAATCAAATTAAAAATTCCTAAAGATATTACCAAAATTGCAGAAAAAAATGGACTAAAATTTCTAAAGAAGAGTACAATGGTGGTGTGAACATACAGTTGGGTCAATCTGCAATAGATCTAGTTAGGTCGAGGTGGACAGATTCGCAGAGAGGGGTGGTTAAATCACAAGGGAGCCGAGATTTATTGTATTAAAAAACATACAGAAGCCCTTCTCTTTCATAACGTTCACTTTTTTAAAACCGTATTTTTCATTTCAAAAACCTTTACAATTCATGTTATAATTTCTTTTAATTTTTCTTTATTTTGGTTTTTCAAAGGACACTGTGATATTTAGCAACTTAACATTCAATTCAGAACAAAAGTTTTTAAATTATTCTTCTGACGTGAAAATTTTTTCTTTTATGTCAATAAGAAGATAATAAATCCGAAAGGATGAGGGAATTAAAGTGGACGGGGTTTGGGAAGAGAAAGGGTTGATTGGAAGGGGGTGTCTCTTTAGTCTTTTTAAAGGTGCCCTCGACTCGTCTCCAGTTTCTCACTTCTCCCCTAACTAATGATCGACTGTCATGGCAAACACTCCTTATAGGCCTAAGGTGTCCATTGCCTCCACCCTTCAAAAGTTGAATCGTAGAGGGGGGTAAAACTCTTACCACATCTATGAGCTGTGATAATTTGAGCTTGATGCACACTCGAAGAACGTCAGTCGTGTTGACCACCGGCCTCACGAGTTTGTTGTAGTTGGATAGTAAGTCGTCGTAAAGCCTTTTCGCATCAGGATTTCCTCCAACGGCGCCGTGCACCACAAGCGCCCAGAGCAGCCATGCTCTCGCTGTCTCCCCAAGGTCCATCCTAAAAATAATTACAAAATAATTATTTAATGTGTTTTATTGTGTAAGACAATTCAGGGCAGCTTATTCTATTCTGGTACGGCAGAAGAGTATTAGCATTCTGCCATCTTTTGGAGGATGTGTAATATGTTGTGTGATTATTTGGAGGTCGTGAGATGCGCTCTGGTGTTACGTAGGTTTGAGAAAAACATTTTCTATATCATGCCAACGTTTCGATCTTTATTGAGAACATCTTCAGGGCTCTATGTGTTTGTTTTCTTTGTAGATGTGTCATTATTGTGAGTCGTGTTGAGATTGACCAACGATAACAACACGACACACAATAATGACACATCTAAAGGGAAAACAAACATTTTGAGCACTGAAGATGATCTCAATAAAGACCGAAACGTTGGCACGATAAAGAAAATACACGACCTCCAAATAATCATCAAGTGTGAAAATGTTATTGTAGTACCAAGTAACAGTCACTGAACACCACACATTATTTTGTGTTTTAAACAAAAATTAAGGTAAATAAAACAGTTACAATATAGATACAACTAACTCAACAAAACGGCACTTCAGAGGGCTGAAATGACCTAGATGTCGGAAACGCCAGTCAAAAAAAAAAAGTATATATATATATGTATTTTTAATAGGCATAGGAATCATGCTAATACCATACCGAAAGTAAATAAATAACCTTCATGACTCAAACCGCATACAATAATGTAGCGAAGAGAAAATCGGAACGACTATCTAAAAATAAAAGACAGATGCAACGAATACAGTAGAACATTTTTCTGAGAATGAGGATCAAATTGCGAAACACACAAAAACGAAAACGACCATGAAACTTTGACAGTAGGTACAAGTTTATACGTAGTTCGGTCGTTATCGATCTTATGGTCTGCCTAACCTCGCAAGTTTGGTCTGTCAGACGCGGTTCTGCTTTACTCTATTTTCAGTGTTGGTTCTGGGTGATTTGTTTAATTTTGGACAGAACCAACACTGAAGCTAAAGTTCAAAAGCCGCCGACAAACCAAACCTGCAGAGCACAAATTCGTCATACCGTAGATCACATTGAGAAATCTCACAATGTAAGCTTCAAATTATTTCAAAACTAATAAAACAGGCAGACAGTGAACATACCCGAAAATAACTTTTTTTGTTCATTTATACCTGTGCCAGTTGTTGTGCTAAAGTAAATATAACAATTTAATGTACATGTAAATTACAAAAAAAAGTTAAAAATAGTAAAACAGAAACTTCTCAATTGTTTGTATTGGCGTTAAAGAACCCCGTTCCACCAATTCATTTAGTAGGTCCCGAAGCCAGTAACGTTTCAATCTTCGAGAGGGATAGTAGGGGTATTCACGATCTTTGTGTTAACCCTGTTAAGTCTGTTAGGTCCTGTTAGATCGAGAAAAATAAAGACGTACACTTCTAAGAATCGTCTAGTTTACATGCTCGATCTAACAAGCCAGAGCCAATGTTAAGTGTTAGGTCGAAAATGTAGTCACTTTGCTATCCGTTAGGGCGTAGGTAACCAACATGGCAGCCATGCATTTAACAGCTGTTTTTTGTTTACACGTATTTTTTTCTTAAATAAGCATTAATTAAATCAGACCAATACATTTCTTTTGTTAATTTCTGACCTGTCCTTATACTCTCATTCATAATTAATAGATACATCCCCTATCGTATAAAGTATTGTAGGTACAAGTTCGGTATGTCGGCACGAATTGAAGCGTGTCTTTGTTAGTACTTTTCGAGTGCATAGAAAGCATTTTGAAAGAAATAGTTGATTAATTTTCCTTTTTATTAACTTCTGGCATCTTACAATTGAACACAAAAGAAAACCAAAACAAACAACAACAGGCCTTCAAGGACTGTTATAGTTTTATTTTTGGTTCTACCAATCGCCACGCGCAGCATTGCGGAAAAATTAACGTTTAACTTGCTAAGAAAAGAAGGATCTTACTGGACATTTCTCTGTTCGAGTTGACACGAGTTAACATCTTACAAACATCGTGAATACCCCTAATATGGAAGGGTGCAAGATGGAAGGTTTCTGTCATGATGGTTTGTGGGAAAGGATAATTGTTTGTGTAACGTACTGTAACTGTATTTTTGTAATTTCAAGGACATATTGGGTATATAGAAAGGAGTATTGACTATGGTTTTGAGGGTTTTGGAACATGGATTGGAAACGTTGGGTATTGGAACAATTCGAGAAGGTTCCGGGAAAAACTACCTCCTTGGTGCAATTAATGTTGGTAATCACCAACCTATTAAACAGAGGGCCTACCCCGTGTCGACTAAGGTACAGAAGGCGATCGACTCTAAAGTAGTTCGCATGCTGGCTGAAGACATTCTTGAGCCGTCCCAGAGTCCTTGTCAAACCCTGCTGTTATGGTACGAAAACCAAATGGGACTTACCGCCATCGATTTTCGTAAAGTTAACGCCATTTCAAAGAAGGACTTTTACCTTCTGCCCAATATGTCATCTATCTTCGACCAACTTAAAAATTGTTAATATATGTCAAAGTTTGACTTGGCACAGGCACATTGGCAAATTCACCTAGCAGAGGTGTGCAGGCAGATTACAGCCTTTATTGTTTTAGGTCGGGGCATCTACCAATTTAAAAGGATGCCTTATGGGTTATGTGGAGCCCCCGCCACATTTCAACGCTTCCTTGATTCGATAATTGGACTTGAATTGGCACCAATATGTTTTGCTTACTTAGACGATATAACCATCGCTACGAATACATTTGAAGAACACCTGAAATTTTTAAACATTGTATTTTCTCGATTACGCCAAGCAGGGTTAAAAATTAATTCCGAAAAATGCAAAAGGGCTAAAAGTTGACGCTTCGAAGGTTTAAGCTGTCTTATCCTTTCCATCTCCCAGCGATGTCAAGGACCTCCGAAGAATTTTAGTCTTTGCCTTGTGGTGCAGGAGATTTAGTCTTAATTTTTAAATCGTGTGCGCCCCGTTAACGAAACTACTCAGTAAGAAGGAAAATGGCATTGTGGGCCAGAACAGGAATCAGCCATGGGAAGCCTGAAGTCCACCTTAACCGATTCTCCTATCTTAGCGCGCCCAGATTTATCGCTCCCGTTTTTGCCGCAGACGGATGGCAGCCATTCAGGACTTGGAGCGGTGTTGTCCCAAGTAGAGAAAGGTTCAGAGACAGTCATCGATTCAACCACTCCAAATATCTAAATGGGTCTTAGAATGGTAATATGAATCGTTTGTTTTGTAGAGACAGATTTGTCCAACAACTTTTTTTGAAGTTTGAAGAGTCTGTTTAGTTCTTATCTTTTGAGTCGTGTATAACAATTCCGTTGGTCAATATACATCCCCCTTGCGAACTGCATTTCCCGGAGAAGGATAATATTGCAGTAGATTTGAATAATGGTCATTCAGAGTTACAGCGACATGTACATATTTTGTATGTTTAAGGACATTTTCCACCTCTTTCAACACACTGCTCAAGAAATCTTGGATCAGATCTTTGAGGTAGGATCAAATGACGCCGGTGTCATATACAAAAATGGTAGTTTAAGAAAGGGCAGGAATGTCAGCAGGGTAAAATGAGTAGAGGATGGGTCATATTTCCGGTTCTGTGCGATATCTAGTGACGTGCGACACCAATCGATATGAGTAAAGTATCGTATATTTTCTTTCGATACCGAGTTCTGTATCGAGTACTTTAAGTAGTATCGGCAAAAATACTCAAATAGATTTTTCATCGAGTGTTCAAGTAATATTGAATTGTTATTTTCCGTTCGAAACTTACCTTTCATCAAACTGGGAGTTGACTAGTTATTGTTAGGGGCGCCTACGAGCGACATGTGTCAACAAAGTTAATCGAGATTTCGAATTGGTGGTTGGAAACTCTGCTAATAATTCTGTTAACTGATAATTCTTTCCCACGTCGCACCTCGCACTTTTAATTTCAGTAATTTTTTATAAAATGTTTTTGTCTTCAAGTATCTAAAAAGTGTTTGCCTTCCTTCTCATAGTTAGATAACAAATCATGTCTCCTCCCAAAAATAAAGGAGTGAGCTTTTTTATTAAGAAATTTGCATCGTCGACATTTTGTGAACTGTGCGGGAATACGTCTAATCTTTTCAAACATTTGAAAAAGAAAACACCCATTGATCAATTTTCTCAAAAGTCGATAACGATAAAATTGATGTAAACGACAATGTACTCACATGAGTAAGTACTCGTTAGTATCGAATTATTTCTGTTGTTACTTGAGTAATAGCGAATATTTCTTTCGGTACCAGTATCGAGTATCAAATATTTTCTGGTATCGCATGTCACTAGCGATAGCTAGGTATGCAAGGGATGAGACTGGCAATAGTGGCAATGGGAGTTGTCGGTGGCCGCAATGGCTTAGGCATTGACACGGCGCTCATCACTGTAAGGTAAAGGTGCATTCGAACCCGACAACCTTTCAAAATTAGTGGCGATGAAAACGTCAGAACCAAAACTAAAGGTCAGGTTACATGAAAACTCAGATACACATAAGCAATTTTGTGATAGCGAGGTATCTCATAAATCTCCCAATCAAAATAAAACTAACGCCATAATACCCCGAAAAACAATGGCTACACGAGCTTACCAAAAACACCGAAAACAAGGTAACGCTAATTTTATTTATTTAATATAAATTTATTTATTTAATAATTATACTAAAGTATAACAAAAAGAAAAATAATGGGCAAAACAACCTTCTTGTCTAGGCTAGCTGCAACGACGGAGGACTAGGCCTTAAACTAGTCCAACCAGTCATCGCTCTTAAGTAAGGCTGCCAACCTGGTTTGATGGAATAGCTCGCCGTTTACGGGGAACTGAGTCCTCTAGTAAACAGACTATACCTGCTGGGAATTGGGCGGCCTTGGGTGTGACGGTTAAGGAGAGACGCTGTGGATAACCGATGGCTCCATGTTGGTTCTCTGATGATAAAATCGAGGTATATCAATTCCTTGCGCCTTAGA